AATCACGTGACTTCCGACTTTCTCGACCAATCAGAGGCCAGATCTCAAATCTGAAAGGCGGGGATTTAGACCTAGTAATTAAGACATTGATTGTATTGTATATTTGCTTCGCTTCGCTCAGCCAAATTAAATTCTCTAACTAAGTAAAAATGATAAAAATCCCTATTTATGCAATCTATGTGGGATCTGAACGACTAATCTTCGTACTTTTGTTCTGGGACAGCCGAGCCCACCGAGGTTATATAGGGTTTCCACTATGTATTGTAACCTGGTATTCTGATAAAAAAAAATTATAGGCGCCGGTTAGTGAGCAAGTCCTGGAGCTTATGTAGTAATCATCTGATGCTCAGTGAGCAAAAAGCGGCAAGGGGTGAGCACGAAAACCGAAAGGGAAATCCATCTCGCTCGGCCTAAAATCTGGTGTGTATGAGGCTCGCCTACAGAATGACCGAGCCCATCTAGAACCACATACCCATCCACCCCCTAAACCCCCGAATCCTCTTGCTCAATTCCAAAAGCCGCATCATAAGCATTCCAAGAATTACAATTATCGCCCAGAGCCTTCCGATCAATCAACGGCTCAATCTCACTCTCCCTCTCCAAAAACTGCAACGCAAACCCCTCACTAGTATGCCACCCAATGTGACAATGCATAAGCCACGCCCCGGGATTGTCCGTCTCAAACGCAACAAGCAAAAACCCATTCCCGTTCAATATCGCCGTATCCCTCCGTGGCGGGTTGTTAGTCGAAACACTCCCATTCCACGGATTCAACCCCTGCGCCAAAATAAAGAAGTCATGCCCGTGTAAATGAATAGGATGCGCGACTGGGAAGCTTGTGTTGATCATAAGGTATACCCACTCGTATGCGCGGGGTAGCTCAATCACGCCGCTCGACGTTGTGAAGTTCGGCGTGTTTTCGTTGTTGATGAGTTGGAGCAAAGTTGGGTCTTCCCAGGGTACTTGCATCGTCGTGCTGTTGAGGTACCAGCGGAAGAGATTCGCGCTGTTGCGTCCCAGTGTCACGTCTGTCAGGTTGTTCCAGTCTGCGGCTGAGACGGTCTTGGGAACTTGGGGGATCAGGCTGGCGGCTGGTTCGTCGACGCATCCGTCTGGGAAGATGAATGGGTTTGTTGTGGGTGTGCTGGGGCTGTTGCTGTAGTAGAGGATTCCTCTTATATTGTCGGGGCTTGCATTTTCAGAACATGCTTCTTGGGGAATTGCACGAATCCAGAATGAGTCGGAGATTTGGCGTTGGTTTGCTGTGACGATTACATCGTAGCGTTGGCCTGTGGATGGCGGTTGGTTAGTTGTGGTTTTCAGCTTGGAGGCGTCGGGGCTTGGGTTTGATATCAAAAGTAGAACAACACGTACCCATTGCGATGTTGATAAAGTCCGCCGTAAACGGCCTGATTGGCACAAAGTCGGCCGAAATAACGGTGAGCGTATGGTTGTCAATCATGAACTTCCAGTGTGTATCAATAGCCGAATTAACAATCCTCAAACGGTACGAAGACCCCTGATTAACCTTCATCTGGAATCTCGTCCCCGTAGAATTGGTCCCATTCCCAAAGACATTGGTTCCATTGATCAACCCAGTATCCATAGTCGGCGGACCAACCGTTTGAGCCTCCAAGTACAACTCATCAACGGTGGGATGCGACCAGTCCGTCAGGAACAGACTGCCCTTATCCACCTCGTAGTTCGCCGTAGCCGGTCCATTGATCACAATCCCACCAAACACACCCTCCCACGCCTGTAGCCCAATATGCGAATGGTACCACGACGAGCCGTACTGCTCGGCGTGCCATTTGTAGGTGATGGTTGAACCAGGCGCGGTGGGACACTGCGTGATGGAGACCACGCCGTCGTTGCCGTTCGTATAATTCTGTCGGATCCCATGCCAGTGGATGCTAGTTCCGTTCTGGGCTTTGTGGAGGCTGTTCGTGACGTGAATCACAACCCAGTCGCCCCAGTCGGCGAAGATCGTTGGGCCCGGGATTGTCCCATTGACGGCCATTATTGGCCGGCTGAATCCATCTGGTGCGGCTACTAGCTCTTCGATGTTGAGCCAGTATTCCCGTGTTACGCCCGTGTTGGGTACTATCTGAGTATAGTCGGTGTTGACGTCGAATTGGCACCATTGAGACCGTGTTCGGGGCGTGTTGCCTGCACAGGGTCTTCCTGTTGGCTTGTAGATATTGGAGGTTGATTGGGTCTTGGTTGTAGTTGTGGGTCCATGGTGTTGTGGCTGGAAAGTGATTGAATCGGCTGGATCGTGTGGAATCGCCGTGATAGAAGCACTCAGGCTACTTGCCAGGAGGAGAAGAGCCTGAAGCTTCATAGCTACTAGTCCAAGCCAAACAGGGCACGTAGATAACGCCCAACTCTCTCGGAGTTACAGAAATCGCTCTTTCTAGAGCTTTCAAGACTGGAAAAGCGTCAAGAATGAGAGAACAGATGAGACTTGCTGCCGATAAACAATCAAGAGAATTTTTCTTCTATTTAAGCCCATGTCTCATATCTCAGAGTCGTCTAACACGACACGGGGAAGTTCAATCTGGACCAAGAACGCCATGTCTCTTTTCACGAGGTGTCCTGCATTCGTACCTCGTCACTAGGATATGCCGGGGAAAACACGATCTCGTAGTACAAAAGACGACCCAACCGACGAATGGCCATGGCGAAGAGTCACTTTCATCGTCCAGCTCGGATGTTGAGGCTATGTTCTCGGTGGGACGCCTGATAGAGCTGGAGACCACCATTCAAATTGTAAGAAGATGGTCGGCCCGGGGAGGTTCCCCGCGGCTGGATCCATACGCCGTCTATCAGACTCGTGTGCATGGGCCGTTTTGCGCAGATGTTGACTACGGCCTGTTCTCTCGTAATAATACTTTGGAAAAGACAGATAACCCGCATGTACCATGCAACTGGGACTGTGTGTCTCATGTCAACAAATCAAAAACGTGCAACGAGAGCCAATGAGAGAGGCTCACAGATGTTACTCTCTGGTTCGGTCGCAGTCAGATCGGCTTGCAGGTCGTTCATTAGGGTTATGCTCCCCGACGCGCTGTCCTGTATTATCTTGGTGCATCCCGTTTCAGCCTTAGCGTATACGAGAGTAAGCATTCCACCTGTGCTCGGGGAATGCGATTGCGATTTTGCATCTCTTCCTTTAGTTTTCATTTTTTGAGATATCAACTGGTTTGTCCAGGATTGTCGATGGTCGTGAGAGTCTTGACCTAGAGCACGGTGAGTGATTGATCTGGCCATTGGGATCGGAATAGCCAGGATCAGGACTTTGACATGGACCATAGCCAGCTGATGGCGACAGGGGTATTTCTCTTTGATTGGGATCCTGGCAATGGCGTTGCAAATTACGTATCGTCAGCTCGTGCCAGTCCAGATCACAAAAGGAGGCTTGGCTTACAATCTTGAAAAAAGACGTATCAGCGATAGAAGATCACACAGGTCATTGGATAGGTTCTAATGTGCTACTTCTGAGTAAATCAACAGTTTTCTCTTTGACTATGCCCTCGTGACTCCTTTCTGTTCTATAAATTGGACTTAATCCTGACACACTACTGTGTACACCCCCCCTTCCAACATCTTGTCGGACTTGTTCCTTGCAAGATGCTATCTCTTTCTATCCTTCTTCTGGCCGTTGGGCTAGTCTGCTCTGCGCATCCACTCGAAGAACGACAGGCGAGGTTAACCGATTCATTCAAGCTGTATGCGTATGGCCCCGGCATTAGTGGACTGCCCGTCTTCTACAGGAACGGTATCTTAGCCCTCACAAACCCCCAGAACCAGCAGGAGTGACTGATCTATATTACTTGGACAACAGGCATTGCCGAAGTTGCGGATGTGTCCAAAGTTGACACAGCCACAAGGGCTGCAATGACCCCAATCAACTGTAAGAACCCAATCTCTTCTCGATATATGAAAACCATGAGAATCTAGCGATCTCCATCTAACCGGGTACATGTAAATAGTCACCGCCTCCACTGACAACACCTTCCTTGCACACCCCAGTTCCAGTACCGGTTCCACCGAGGGCTTCAACACCCTGGCGACCAATACCAACAAGCTGTGTCTAGACCAAGGCAATACGGACGCCAATCCAGTCAGCTTCACCGGCATGTCTGACACGGAGCAGTCGAACAACACCAAGCTCAGCAACGTATGGTCCACGTACGGGGGCTACGTCTTAGTCACCGTGACCGGGGTCAATTTTTACGCGAGACAAACTGGCACGGATGGCTTGTACTCTCTGCTTTGGAGTAGCTCGGCTGAGGCAATGACGGATAATATACCGCTAGTGCTGCGGACTGCTGAACCGGCAACAACTTCTGTACTGACCTAGCCGAGCTGAGGTTGGATGTCCTGGATTATGGGTGGAGTGGAGGCGGGGGTCGTGATGCGCAGCAGGAGATATGGGGTGTGGTGATATAGTGAATGAATCTCGGCTCTTCCTACCGGGCGATTAGGTTGAACAGGAAATTATGCAACTAGTAATGCGCCCGTATTATCTCTTGATGTATGTCTTGTCCACATTGCGGGGCTAGGGGTTATAGACGCCTAACCAGCGCTGACTGTATCACCCACGGCACATCGGGCTGTATTCGTTGATTCTAGTGCGGTGTTTGTTCAATTCGTCCGGGGAATTTTATACCAAAGGGCACAACTCCCCAAGGATAATTGATAGGAGGCCAATCTCCGACATAGGTGGAGCGTCCTCTTCAGCTATTTGCCCCAATATATAGCACTCGTTCGGATTCTTCCATTTTGAATTGGAGTTGGAAGCAAAATTCAAAGCGCTAAATTTGACTATCAAAAGCTAAATCGATGGAAAGACTTCTACAGACAAGTACCATCCACTATTTCATCAGGCAGCAACCGGCACAAGCACACAATAGTTCACATTTCAAAGAGTATAGTTTCAGGAAATTGCTACATAACCCTATAGCTAATATATGCACGAGGGTAAACCAGGCAGATTGTGACAAACAAACGAAAGAAGTACATGTATAAGACTTGCAGAAAACGCCTCGTTGCTGTGCGCAGCCAAAGGGAGGAGAGAAAGCCCAACAAACAATTAGCAAGCAAAGTGTTGGTTGTGAAGAGGCCCTGGCGTAAAACAAAAAAATCACAGGAAATTAAATGGAATAAAATGGAATAAAGAAAAGACTAGGAGGAAAATAGTGTAATCAGACCAGGAAAAGGCCAGGCAGACTGAAAAAGAAAAAAAAAGAACTTGATGCAAACGACATTTGATATCAAAAGCCAAAAGACAAAACTCCCCAATTCTCCCAGACCCAGAAAACGCCAGAACACAGAGACGTGATTCTTAAAACAAGAAACTCCGGATTTCCCACCCCGAACCCGTGGTAAATTGATAACCTGAATAATAACAAACAAAAAGCAGAACCCGATTCTATGTCTCTCATCTGTACCGCTTCTGCGAAACTAAACCCTTGTCGATCGTTTCCGCAGACCAAAGTCTTGTTCTTGGAGCTCTCGTATCAAACGAAGACTTTCCTCATCTGCGTCTTCATCCCCGGTCATGTGTTGGCTATGCTTGTGCTGACGCGGAGATAATGATGTAGGGGCGTGACGATGGAAATGCTTTTCATACATCGGAGAGCTCTTCTTCGCGTGTGAAGACGAGGGACGTGATGAAGGCTTCCTTGTTGATGCTGGAACAGGAGTGGTCTTGCGTGCCCCGATCATGGAAGACGTGGCTCGTGTCGCTTGCTTCGGAGCCCGGGCTGTACTTGCATTGGACGCAAACCGATCGACATGTCGAGGTTGGCGAGACGAGTGACGAGAGCTGGAGTTGGGAGTGTGAAGATCAGTGGACACCTCCCCTTCTACAGACGGTACGGCCTCTCCCTCTTGGACTCCGTCCATCTCGTCGGCCAGCGACGTGGGCGGTGACACCAAGGAAGTGTTTGGCTTGGATGAAGGCGCAGACACGGAATTTAGTTCCTTTGCATCCACAGACTCGGCCTGGAAAGCAGGCGGTGAGGCGTACATAGCTTGATTTGGAGGTGCCTGATTTGCCTCTGGCAAATGCTCAGCTGATTCAATTTGACTGAGAGACTCGTGATCAAAGGCACCCATCAGATCGTCTTGTGCCATCAGTTCGTCTTGTGCCATCAGTTCGTCTTGTGCCATCAGTTCGTCACTATCATGATCAAAGAATGCTGCAGGCTGTGTCGTGGGCGAAGTGCTCTCCTGCTTCGCTTTTTTGGCTGTGGTAGGCATGTCATCCTCTTCAGCAGGGCGTGCTCGTTTGGCGGAAGCATTCGCACGAGGTTTAGAGCGTTCCTGAGCCTTGATCGGATCTATTCGACCATACTCATCGTGGATGCAACGGCGCTGGTGTCAGGTCAGTAACAGGAACTGGGGCAAAAGAAACCGTTAGCGGGTACCACTGACCTTGCTCTTCCGACAATCATCGCACGCCTTGCTGCGCCCCTTTTTTCCTCCATTGGTTCCGTCAGGGCTCACGTCAATGTGACGGCTGGCGGCTATAGTAGAATTGCCCATGACTGCGGATTGGAATCTTGCTGAGCTCTCAAATCGATCCAGGTCAACAAGATGGCCGTTGTTTTGTAACCCAGTTTGCGATGCAATCGCTGCCAAGGAATTCAAAGCAGACACAGCATCTTGGGCCAATGACGACGGAGTGCTCACCCCAGAGCCCGGTGTGAAGGCATTGACTGCGACTTGCCCGTTCAGCCCCAAATCACCGGGTTCATCTTTGTGTCGGCATCGAATGCGTCGTTTGCGACAGGCGTCACATGCAACTCGCTTAGGACCGAGACCCGAGGCCCGCTGCACAGCCCGTGGTTTGGGTGTAGCAATATCCTTGATGCTCGGTTCTGTTGCAACACTGAATGGCGCCGGTGTACCACTTCCATCAGAATGCGCATAAGCAAGGCTGCTGGATAGTGGATTTGGGGTTGCAGGAGCATCTTCTGAAGGCCACTGGACCGCTTGTCTCTCGGCATAGGTGCGTTGATTATCAACGTTCCGTTCAGATCGGCGACTTGGTCGCCCTGCGGGCTTCTTGTCTGTAATAGAAACCTTGGGATTACTTTCGATGACGCCAGGTCGAGTCCAGAGGGGCGCCTTTTCGTTGCCACGCTTCCAGGCGACCCAAATTCCAAATTTCCTGATCAGGTCCACAGGATCTCCTGTGCCTTTGGGGATGGAGCGTCGGACAGCGTTTCGAACGTCCATGGAGACGACTCCATCAACGGTGTAGCCCCCCGCAATGAGTGCCGTCCGTAGCAAATACTTTGTCAATTCAAGTAGGCCCTCTAGCTCCGCCTGTGAATAGAAACGTGCATTGTAATGGGGAGAACCTGGGGTTTCCTGGTTGGTGCGTTCTCCAAACTCGTAATAGATTGGATATTGGCGGTGGAACCGATAGTTCTCATCCTGCAGAAATGCTTCCATCACATTTTGCGGGACGGGGTCTTCCTCCAAATACTTTTGAGCCGTGTACCACTGGATCTTTTGGAAGAAAGGGTATCGGAATTTCTTGGGGACTTTGGTCTCCTTTTCGATGTTAAGTATCTTAATTTGCATCCCGTAATTCAATTTGGTCAAGAAGTTGCCACCAATAACCAAACTGTTTTCCGGGGTCCAAACTGCGTGAATCCAGCCGGACGGGATCAGCATGGTGTCTCCCTCGGAGAGATCGACACGGTAGCACTCCTTGGTCTGGTTTCCAAGGAAAATCGAGTCTTGGGCAGGAGAGTTGCACCACTCCTCGTATTTCTTGAGGTGTTTGTCTTTGGGAGGAATGAAGAAGAAAGTCTTCTTGCCCTTCAGAATGTGGTAGTACACCGAAGACCCTCCAAAATCGATGTGAAAGTCGGTATAGCAGTCGGCAACAGACATTAGGCAGTAGAACTGTACTTTGGGATATTCGCCATTTGCCTTCAGATCCTCTGGCCACACAGCATCTTGCAGATCCAAGTCACGCACAACTTTCGGTCGCCGGATGAGTCTGCCGAGTTTGCTCTGCGATACCTCCAAACTGATGACATTCCTGACAGGCTTGTCCTGCTCAGTGCTTTCGTAGTAATCCGCCCATTTTTGCATGTTCCACCTCTTCTCCTCTCCTTGCTGAGACTTAACATCGATCACTTCAACCCTTTCTTCGGGTCCGTAAAGCTCTGCCACAGCACGGACAGTGAGACCCCGCGGAATGACCATACCCAAGAGATCTTGGCCACAATCGACAACTTCTTTAATTTGGTTATATTGTTCTGGTTGGTTCTCGAGGAGATCATCGAACATCTCTTGAGATGAAGCCTCCTGTACTAGAGATTCGAAGTCTGGATTCTCCGAGAAAACAGGCTCGGTCGAGTTCCAACAGGCAGGTATCACAATAGGCTCCGTCCATCCATTTCCTCGCTCAAAATATTCTGCTGTAACCAGCTCAGGCTTCATTCGAGGAAAATTCTCAGCTTGGAATCGGATCTTTCCTTGTCGGATGGGTTCAAGATAATGATGTTCCAAGGAGTCAGTGGCAGCTTTGACGAGGCCTTGGTTCAGGCCTGCGTAGTCAATAGCTGTCCGGGCCCGTGAGGATTTGCGTACAAAAGTTGTTTGGCCATGAACTGATCGACATGGCCGACAGATAAATTTGTCCACTGTGCGAACCTCTCGATCGTTCTTAAAACCAGCGCAAACTATGTGGAACCATCCTTTGCATCCATCGCAACTGATCCACGTGTCTTCGTCCTGTTCCTCAGACTCAACTGGAATGCGCGCTAGTTGACATGCCCCACAGATTGCTTGATTGGTGTCACCCTCTTCCTCTTCTACTTTGGATGGAACGGGCAGGGACTTTTGTGAGAATTGGGGTTCTTGGGGATCGACCGGAGGATGGATTCCATAAGCAATGGGGTAAGGTGCATCAGCTGGTGGATGACAGGCTTTGCCTTCGTGCTCATCCTCCCAAACGATTGGCGGGAAAGTGCCTGAGCTAGTAGTTGGGCGGATTCCGCGGATCGCAGGACAGGATGTAAAGGCTGACCCGTCAGAACGAGAGCGCATGCGAGCATGAGGTAAATCCTCGGAATTGTGATTCATCTTGACATCGCCCTGGTCAGGATGTCCAACAGCAGCGAACCCAACTCGAGGTTGACGAATCATGTCGCCTGCGTAGTGGTGGTAGGTCTCGTCGATGCTGACTCGTTTGGTGTGGTTGCCCGGGTAGAAATTAGTAGGCCGCGCGAGATTGAGTAAAAGCTCTGCATCGGTTGTCATGCTTTCAAGCCCAGCTGCGTGTGGGTTTTCTTTCAGCATTCCAGATCGCGGGCAGAAGGGCGACGGATTTCTCGCCGACCGTGCCCGCTTCGCCGGTCGTTCAGACTCTGCAGAGTCAGGTGGAAATAAGGAAATTGTAGACCGAAAGCTAGGGGAAGGTGGATTGAGAGGGAGTGATGCAAAGGTAGGACTTGTTGCGAGGGCGATTGTCGCAAGTGTGTCGATAGTCGAGCTTGAGCGGCCATGACCCGATCGCTGGTGTGAGCCACCCTCTGCGGCGACATGTTGATTGTGATTCAAAGGAAGCTGGTCGCGATCAAGACTGTCAGCTCGTAGGGGGCCGCTGTTGGCCCAAGAGGAGTGAAAATCGGTGGCTGTGGATGGAGTGATGGGTTCGACAGCTCGCAGAGGAGGAGACGGAGTGCGGTACTGCGGCGGGCGGCCGCCGATAGGATTCGCAAATGATGCCGCACTCATCATTTTCGAAACCCGGTTGAGAGTGTAGTTAGAAGAAAATTAAATATGGAGGGTCGGAGGTGCGAAAAGATGCGCTTGCGGTAGGTGGGTGCAAAGCGGGGATACTGGACCACACGGGCTAGCGAGAGGCCGGCGCAGGCGAAGGGAATGTCATTCCTGGCAAAAGAGCATGCGCACAATGGACCGCAAGTTTATAACTGAGATTTGATAAAAGATTGAGGGCGAGGTAGGTGGCTGACGGTAGTCGCGGAGCGTTGAGGGGGTTCGAATCAAGCGGCGGAGGACAAAGGCGCCGAGAGTCGCGCCGCAAACTGCGGGCAGGTAGGGAAGGAAATCGAGTGAGGTCCAGTAGACAGGAACCGTTTCCTGTCAACTGGATGGAAAATGACAAGTTTGCGAATAGATGAAGCGCCGAAAGCGAGAGAGAAGCGGATGAGCGCGAGGTGTTGGGGCGAAGGAGGAAGCGGGAGTCGAGTAGTAGCAACTTTGAAGGTATGTATGTATACGGTACAGCTGCGGGCTCCTACGTTACGTTGTGTACTTCGATTACTATTAATGAAATGGATTCAAATTTCTTATGTAAAAGACGAAGATGGAGAAGCACTCATTGAAACGAGCGATTGTGTTTACTTGGTTGTTCCCCCTCCTCCCCCCGACGCTCATTTCTCTGTAGTCCAAAGGAAGTTGGCAACGCCGAGAGCGTCCGTCTTGATGATACAGTCCGGTACCAGCACAATACAATCACGTGTGAAGTTTGGCATCTCACCACACCGATGAAGATCACATGACCTGGTCACATACGGTTTAAGAACCAACTGCCACTAAACCGGGATAAGTAAGCGCACCGCCAAGACAAACCTCGTGGTTGTCCTTGCGCCTTGCTCGGGTCTTCTACCTCTTCGCTATTCCAACACTGCCGCTGATACCTTGCGTATCTTTCTTGTTAAAACCTCCATTCAACATATTCTAGGACTCTCTCGCCTCTGAGAATGAGCCGAAAGCTCGCCCCCGAAGCCAATCGGTACGTGAGAATACTTTTTCCATGCCCCTCCCCCAATCTTCGACACAAGTGCCATTTTGTCATCGACTGCTTGATCGTTGGGTCTAGTAGATCCCTGACATTTTAAATTGACCAGCGCTAACTTTTTTCTTCTTCTTTCAAAGGATTCTCTTCGTCAAGAACCTCAAGTATGTACCTGATCACTTCGCTGCTTTGCTCCGGCTTGCTTCCCCGGCGGCTCAGCCATGTAACCCGCAATTTACAATCGTGATCAAATCGCTGACATCTTTATCAACAGCTACAACGTAACAGCGGAGCAACTGTTCGACCTGTTTGGCAAATTTGGCCCTATTCGGTAATAGTCGTCTGTCTCGTATCAGAGCCCGATCTAATACTACTTCTTTTGCAGTCAAATTCGTCAGGGTATCGCCAATACTTCCAAAGGAACGGCATTCGTTGTCTACGAGGACGTTCACGACGCCAAACAGGCATGCGATAAACTCAATGGTTTCAACTTCCAGAACAGATACTTGGTTGGTACGCATAGCATATGGATCAAACAAACCCGGGTAATTTGGAGGTGACTAATTTTGGGTGTTCTAGTCTTGTATCATCAGCCAGAGAAGATGGTCCGTACGAAAGAGGACATTACGGAAAGGCAGGAGAATTTAGAACGGCTCAAACAGCAACACGGGATAGAATGATGTGACGAATTCCTTTTCTCTTCCCTCTACTAGCATTTAGCTGCGCGTGGTATTGCAACGGCTCTACTATTCAATTGCGGCTTGGTTGAGGGGTTTCCGGCGTTTTTATTCCCTGGGGTTTTTTTTTCTTTTTTCGGAGGGTTTGATGGTGGGCGAGGCTGGTTCTGGTCGTCATATATTGACCCGGAAATGATCGTGCGAACAACACGCCGGCGAGATCTGATTTCTTCTTGTGTTTTTTCTATTTAACCATTACTACTACTACTCTCTTCGTCAATTCGACCCTCCATTTTGCTCCAACATTCTCCGTGGCATAGCTAGATGCTAGGTGCAAAGACTTCCATGCGTGCCACACTGCTGAAAGTGATAGGTGAGTCAAATCGTGAGCTATTTTCGAGCTTTGTGTCATCTCGATCTACAATGTCAAGCTGAAAACAGGGTCTACCCATCTACGAGGCTGGGAAATCACTGATCAATCCCCACTATTATTCAGAATAATCCTTAGCTTGGTATCGACTTATATGATGTATGCAAAACAAATCAAGACCAGGATCAGAGCAGATAGACAAAAAAAAAAACAGAAAGCCAAGATCCAAGACCCTTAATGTAGGCTTACTGCCATCCAACCCCTGGAAGGGAAATGCCCATCGGCCTTGTCGATCCCGCTGCGGGGATCCTGACACCGCCTAGGCCGCAGCAGCATTCAGATTCACTTCACTTGACCCTTATTCTTTTTTACCCAACTTCTTTAATTTTCTATCCTCTCTCAAAAAGAACAGAATATTTCAATTTTGGGCTTGCTCCTCCTCATCCGATCATCCGTTCCATTGCCACTCACTTTGATGTCACGCGTATGACGTTCGGCTGTCTCCGCCTTTGATAAACCTCTCAAGGTTTCCTTGGGGCCAAGGCTACTGGGCGCTTACTAGAACTGCCATCTGGTCTCCAGCATATGTCGTGTTTTACCTGAGCTCTTTCAATATCTTTCTGGTCTTACCAGACTAAGAGATGATGGATACCGCGACCAACTCGTTGGCTTCGATAGTGACGACCACGTTAATCACTGCTACCACTCCAACGCCCTTGGGTGCACACAGAGTATACTATCATGGAACAAACTCTTCAAGCCCAGGTCAGGATCCAAACGGCGAAGGAGGAGAATGCAAGCTGCTTGGTCCATTCTCCGTGTTTGTTCAGATTGCTCTTGGTGGCCTCGCATTATTGTCTCTAGTCTATAAGAGATGGAGAGAACGACCGCAGCGCCCGGTGAAGATCTGGGCCTTTGATGTCTCGAAACAAGTCTTTGGATCGGTGATGCTTCACATGCTGAATCTGGTCATGTCGATGTTTTCTGCAGGCCAACTGGACATCCGAAGCTCATACAAGCCGAACCCTTGCTCATTCTACTTGCTGAACCTGGGAATAGACGTGCGTTTCTACTGATTTTGTTTTGATCTCTTCTAAGGGGCTGCTGGCTAACAGATGGAATAGACTACTCTCGGTATCCCCATTCTAATCCTTCTTCTCCGCGTTCTCAACTATTTGGCATCTTACACACCTCTTGCAACCCCTCCGGAATCGATCGAGTCTGGCAATTATGGCCAGCCCCCACGTGCAACATGGTGGCTCAAGCAGTCCATCGTTTATTTCATGGGATTGCTCGGTATGAAGATATGCGTGTTCTTCCTCATCGAGCTCTTGCCTTTCATTGTCAAGGTCGGCGACTGGGCTCTAAGATGGACAGAAGGAAACGCTGCTATCCAGATCTTTTTCGTCATGCTTCTTTTCCCAGTTATCATGAATGCCATCCAATATTACATTATCGACATATTCATCAAAAAACCAGTCTCGCAGTACGCGGTGGACGACACGATTGGAGATGCTGCCACCGATGATGATGCTGACCGCCGGGAGGCTCTTCTTGCTGGCCTGGACGAATCATACTTCACTGATTCTGATAATGAAGAATCTGGGAAATCTTCGAGAACCACCTCGCAGCAGAAGGCTACTGCGGACGCTCTCCGGGAATCCGAGCATTTACTTCCTGAAGATCACAACCCTGTTCCTCCATATGAGCCTCCGAGCTCAAGTAGCAGTGGTGACGAACATGATACGAAAGCTAGTGTAACACATCGCTGAATGTTCCTTTGTCTTCTGACTTTGAGAATTTGGTACCTGCACTGTTGTCAATGATTGGTGTTACTAGTGATCTTCAAGGTAAATAAGATTGTTTCGCCCTTCCATATGAGTGTAAATTTTCCATTTTCCGGCTATCTAGTATGCATGCATCTAGGCTATACAAGAGTAATTATCTGTTGTATTACTCAAAAATGAACTAGTGATAAACATCCAACCATGAGATAACCAATGTCTCTGAACTTGTCTACTTATCCATCTTCCTCCAATATGTCTTACCACATTTTTTGCATGTGACAAAAAGGCTTGGCTCTGAAAACGTCTCTTCTCGCCAATTTACTCCAAGTAAAGGATATATCAGATGTCAAATGTGTGTATTAAGCTTGTTCAGATGAGGTCCCGATTTGTTGCCCTAAAACCAAGGTGACTGACTGTACATGCCGCCTTCCACACCGCTTTGATCTGCCAATTCTGGAAAAATCAAAGAAGAAAAATGTTCAAGTCCCGCCTGAGGAACATCTGCAGCCTACAATTGCATTATTGCATTCAATTATCAATTCGGCGACCGAGTCTGCAAGCAGTTGTGCTTCATCGGCAGATATCTTCACACCAACCGCCATGCCTAACGTAGGGCTAAAGAACAAGCCCAAGCGGACGACCGCCCGGTCTCCATTCGAGAACACTACGGCCAACATTCGCCCGGATGACTCAGATGTCGAGATGGAAGATGAAACCAGCTCAGATGAGGACAAAGTTCCCGAAAAAGATGAGGCAGAGAAGAAGCTAGAGCGTATGCTTTTCGGCGACGATGAGGGGTTCATGGGCGCATTGAAGAACCAGCAGGACCGCGAGGCTGGCATGGCTCTCACTCTGCACAGTGATGACGAGAGCGATGCGAGCGAAGATGCCGAGGAAGGCGAGGGCCAAGATTTGGCTGCTCTAGCCGATTCAGACGTATGCGACTCCACTCCCATGCGTTTACAGATCTCGAGGTTTCGATCTAACAATTCTGCTTTCATCTAGCTTTTCTTCCTTGACTCCGGTGCACCCCCCACCACTGATTTCATTCCATCACCGGAAACCCCTTCGGATGCCGAGGACGACGAAGAAGAGGACGAACCCGCAGTATGGTACGACAGCGACGACGAGCGCCTCGCCGTGTCGTTAGCAAGCCAAGCCAGACTGCGCAAATTGCGCAACACCGAAGCCGAAGATGTGGTCAGCGGCAAGGAATACGTCCGACGACTGCGCAGACAGTTCACACGTCTGCACCCAACACCGGAGTGGGCCACGCCGGAACTCAAGCGCCGCAAGACGGACTCGGACTCGGACGCAGGCAGCGAGGAGGAAATCGACTCGGACAACGAGAATGAGAACCTCTCCATGCAGCCTCTAGCCAAGCTTCTCCAAAACGCCTCCGACCTGACGCGCATAGAAGACAACGCGCGCTCCAGCGGAAAGCGCAAGCTGCGCCAGGAAGTCATCGACATCCAGAGACTCAAGGACATCGGCAAATTGCAACCCTCCTCCGTCGACTCCTTGACCTTCCACCCGCACTACCCGCTCCTGCTCTCCTCCGGACCAGCCTCCACCCTCTTCCTGCACCACATCTCTCCCTCCGCGCCCGCTCCTAACCCCCTCCTCACCTCTCTGCACATCAAGCACACACCAATCCACACGTCCGCCTTCGCCGCACCCACAGGCAACAAAATCTTCGCCTCGGGCCGCCGACGCTACTTCCACATCTGGGACCTGGACACCGGCAAAGTGGACAAAGTCAACGGCTCCTCCGACCGCAAGGAAGAGCAAAAGTCCATGGAGCGCTTCAAGCTCTCTCCATGCGGCCGCTTTGTCGGCCTAGTCGGCACAGCCCGTAAGGGCGGCGGTCTGATCAACGTCCTAGATGCCAACACCGCGCAGTGGATCGCACAGGTTCGCGTCGACGGTCGCGGCGGTGTCGCAGACTTCGCCTGGTGGTCTGATGGCGAGGGTATGACAGTTGTGTCGAAGAACGGTGAGGTCTCTGAGTGGGATGGACGTGCAGGCCGTGTTGTAGCGCGCTGGCTCGATGCCGGTGCTGTCGGCACAACGGTTCTCAGCCTTGGTGGTCGCTCGGGCCGGACTCAGCTTGGAGGGGATCGTTGGGTGGCGATTGGTTCTTCCAGTGGTATTGTCAACGTTTATGATCGTCGCGAATGGGCGGCTGCTTATGCAAATGCTTCTGCTGCCGAGAAGGATTCTTCGACTCAGTCGGGTATCCCTCGCAACCCTGACCCGGTGCGTGTGCTCGATCAGCTCACTACCCCCATTAGCCATTTGGTCTTTGCACCTGATGGGCAGATGATGGTTATGGCGAGTCGGTGGAAGCGTGATGCTCTGCGTCTTGGTATGTTTCCTTTTTGGTTCTGCTTGTGCTTTTGCGTGTTCTTTGCTGACTGTGTTTCTTTATAGTTCACCTTCCGACCTGCACGGTATACCGCAACTGGCCTACTTCCAACACGCCGTTGGGTCGCATTTCTTCGGTGGCTATCTCACCGAACTCGGAGCAGTTGGCTGTTGGTAATGAGCAGGGTGGTATCCGACTCTGGGAGATTCGGGGATAGACGACCGATTCTAAATTAAATATTTATGTTTTCTTGTCGTATATATACTACCATTATAGTGGTACATGCTTTTCATTCTGTCGTACAGTCGCTGGTAAATCAACGTGGTCACCATTTTGCAGTAGTTGCCATGAGTCAGCGTGGTCTCTGGGTATAGTCGAGACATCTGCCGATGCCTTGGCCTGCATACTAATCACCATGCAGACTCAAGGCATCCCATTGCCCTCAAGTACATTAAAAATAATCAAAGGTAACGCCTGAGGTTAAACCAGATATAGATGCAACGGTGCTTTGCAGTAGGCCATCATTTTTTTTTGGAAGATTGTTCACATCTTTCTAGCGTAGAGAAACCAACAAATAAACAGAACGCCCGGTGTCCGAAAAAAAGAGTAGAGCAGGGGGTCAAAGCCAGTAAACAAGCCATAGCACATGCAAGTCGTGTGAAATCACATGAAGGGTCATGGTATCATTCGTAGGAGGGTTCTATACTGTTAGCCCTGGTCAAGGATTCTCAGTAACAAACGGGGTATCTGGGGCAGACAAGAAAAACAAGCGCAGGAGAGAAAACAAATCACGTTAGCAAGGATCATCTCCGGGGGTGCTTTGCTCTAATTTTGGGCTGGGTATAAACATGTGCGGGTTCAGAAAATTCCGACAACAGGAGGGGGCGCAGGAAAATCATTCGTAGCCGTCATTAAACAGTGGGACTCGAGAGATTGGATGAATCCCACGAAACACTACTCTCTCGGGCTGCTTAAGCCCCACCGCTGAGGTCGTTTCCCTCGATCAATGAAGTTCTTGATGACACAGGGAGCACGGTCAGGGCCCTGGCACACCTTATGGCGGTTGAGATGTTTGAACTTTGGGCCAGTGGGTCCATTAACGAAGTGGTACTGGCCTGCAAATCGATACTGACGAGAATCGCCTAGTTGGTAGAACTTGTCACCCCAGTGGCCTCTGTAATGGAACCATTCAGTTGGGGCAGAGGGGCTGAAGGTGGACGCCCGTAGATTCTCGGTATCGAAGTCGTAGGTGTAGGCCTGTGAGTTCAGAAGGGGATCCCATAGTGGACCACGGTCGGTCACATCATGCAGCAGTCCCCAGGGGAGAAGGTACTCGTGTACTCCGGCTGTAGCGTACATGGCATGGCTGCCCTCGGCGGAGTAGATGACGGGCTGCCAAGGTAGTATTAGTGAAATGATTCTTGCAACTTTTTTGATTTGGGTCCTTACGCGTTGTCCGATCTTCTCAACAGCTTCGTAGCTGTAAGCCTCTCCGCCCTGGTGGGCACTGAAGAAGAGCGCTTTCGGTTTGCCATTGTGGAACCGCACCAGACAATGCTCCCAGTCGCCGACGTGATTTCCGAACCGCACGTTGACAACAGTGTTACCGAGGTTGAAGCTGTAAAAGTAGAACCAGAACGCATCGACAATTCCGTTGCCCTTGTCCACCACCACTAGGATTGCCGGGGCATCGCTTCGACCACCAGCACCATTATCATAGATCTCCTCTCCACCGTAGCGCTTGCGAATCTCCTCTTTGAGTATTTGCTGGGCTTGAAAATGTTCATTGGTGTTGGATTCGTCTACAGCGGCAGCGTCTTCTTGCAATTGGTGGAAGTCGTACCACTTGGAACGATCTTCCTCCGTGTCACCGGGAATATCACCATCGATTCGGCCATCCCAATCAGCCCAGGATTCTTCGTCGTGGTTCCCATCCGTTTTCGGTATATTCTTATCACCCTCGAGCCATGGTGGACGCGTCTGTACATCATCATTGCTCGTCAAAAAAACGTGCCGTGACCCCCACTTGTTCAACTCGTCCAGATCGGCCAGCGTCGGATGGTCCCATTGGGCCTGAATTGGAGTGTAATTCAGAGTCGGAGTGGAATGATGCAGGTGCTCTGCGATATCCCCCGGCCAGAATTGCTCGCCAGAATAAAGGTGAACGAGTGGGGCGTGATGAAAAACATAGCCCGGGATCTGCCGCCGAGCCCGCTCTTCGGCATCCCACTCGGCCTCACCAGTCCCGCTAAGCCAAAAGGACCGCCAGGGTGCCTCTGGCTCGGCATCTTGTGCATTAACCCACTCTGCTGGATCGCGATGTCCGAATTTCCCGTGCACGGTTTGTACGTGGGCTGCGCCACAGATGCCGAGCCATCGGCAGGATTTGCGGTCGAACCACGAGCGCGAGCTCGCGATCCAGCTCCGCTCCTCCCGGTCCTCTGCAGACCAGACAAAAGCAGTCGGCCGGAGTACGTGGATTATGCTGTTGATGGATACATAAGCGATCAGGCTCGAGAGCACGACAATGGCTGCTTTGGCCTTCCGGGTCATCTGCTAGAGCGAGTCGACATAGACTGTCAGGGCCGAACTATGTGGGGTATGGTCATAGACTGCAATTTCAGAAATTCCAGTCGATGCTAGGGGTTCAATGCAGTGGGAGTCAATTGATAGGGCTGCAGCGGTCGGGCACTCCCCAGGAACTATGGTAGGACGAGAGACAATGATAGTTGGGACAGGGCGCACAACAGGATCGTGGGGTTGCCTATATAAAAACACACACACAGTCCCTTTGTAAGCCCGGTTTTCCGAGTCCAGCTAGACTTTCCCGATAAAGATTTCAAAGGTAACAAAAAAAAAAAAGAAGACGACGACAAGAACGGTTCAAACATTCACTAGTTAAACCGGGAGCGAGCGGAAATGCATTAATGTCATGTCATAGCCAAGCCGGATGCCATCTACCGAGTGCATGGGCTTATCCGTCCAGAGCCGGAGCGGAAGCCACGGGAACTTACGAAGAGATGACCCCATTTTTCTATGTCCAAGTTCTTGCGGTGAAGAGAGTGTGGGCTTTTTTTTTTCATAAGGCTGAGGACTGGGCACAACTCTACTTCCAAGGTTGGTTCTAGAAAAGATTGCATAATCATGGAATCAGTACGGAGTACCCAACCTTGGAAGTATACCCAATGTACCTCTAAAATGACATTAAAGAGTACATCAGATTCCAGGGAACCTGAGATGTCGATTTTTGTACCCAAAATCCCTTTCTTCTGAAACATAAATACATGCACATGTGTATGCCATGTTTTTGCCACCAGGTCCTTAAGTACAAGGTCTTGTTGATTTTGTCCCAATCGGGAAAGAGAGGGGCTGAAGATTTCACCGCTTGCAGAAAGCTGACTCATCTTTATCTTATCTGGGCTTTTTGTTCCAGACCATTCAGACAAGAGGGCTCCAAATCTGGCATTTCATCATGGATACACTACTTGACTTCGAATCCGATGGAGAATATGACTATGAATATGAATATGGTACAGAGACCGAGGTGAGAATCAATCCCCTTGCTTTATCTCAAGGCTACTAATCAATTGATAGAGCTTTTATCTCAACCTGGACCTGACCGCTCACCATGGCCCAGTGCGCCCCCCACGCCGTCGTCCGAAGGAAGCAGTATCTCGGGAGGATACACAGAACCCTGCAGATTATACGAGCCAAGGATTTCCAAGCGAAGCTTATCCTCCGATCGAGAGCGCTGAGACAGGCAACCTCCCGAACGAACGAATCCAAATTCTCGACCTCCACACGAGCAACCCAATCATTTCTTACTACAACCAAATGTTTAGTTGCTCCTGGGCTGATCAAATTGGCACTGAACTAGTTTTTGCCAGTCCAGACGCAGGAACCGAACCCGACCCAGACAATCACTTCCCTCAACCTCTACACCGTGGACCCTCCTACCAGCTTCTTGCTGCCAACAGTGTGAAAATCCTCGGTCGGAAGGCACACCTCGCCCCCAGCGCTGGGCCAGGACCAGCCCACGGCTTTACCGAGGGACCCTCAAGCGCCGAACCTGCTCTAGAGTCCGCGTCTTCTCAGGGCCCCGAACCCCTCGGCGCACCCCGTCGTCCCGCTGTCCCGTCCCACCAAGCGCAGTTCCTCCACAGGTTGCAGCAGATCAAGAACGCCAAGGGAGAGTCTGATACCGTTCGCACGGTCATGAGTACACGTCGGAATGTGAATATGGTGGACAGACAGCAAGGCTGGGCTCGTACCGAGGCGCAGCTTGCTGAGATCGAGCGGCTGAATGAACGTGCTTTGAAAGGAGACTTGGAGGCCAAGGCAACTCTTGAGCTACTGATTCAAGAGCTCAATCCTGATGAGACAGAGTCTGAGTCTGATTCGGAGTTAACATCTGACAGCGATGATCTAACGTCATGAATGTGCAGCTTGCCGGTGTGCTGACCTCGACATACATTTCGGATCTAGGTCACGACCCTGTGTCATTGAGTCGATCGTCCGAAGTTGAAAAAGCTACCCGACGTCGGCATCTCACCGGATCTGCATTGTGCTGTGCTCTCTCCGCTCTTACTACGTAGCTGACCTGTTCTGTCATGTGGGAGTGAGAACTGAGGAGCAGCACTGACGAAAAATGGTTACCCTTGCTAGGAGCAACGAGGCCACTCTCGTGATGTGAAAAGATACACTCTCTACAACATTGGAGGAATGGCACCACAACCCGGGACAGTCATCCCAACCAGTAATCACTGGAGATAACAAGCCCCACCCAACTTGACCGAGCGAACAGCCCATCAATAAAACCAAGTTAGCCACGCTAAAAAGGAACCTGGTTTACTATCTAGGTGGATCTAGATGGCAACGTCATCCACAAGCACCATGCAGGACGAAAATCCGTGTTTCCCCCCAAATCAAGAATCATGCAACCCATACGACAAATTCCAACAAATGTACAACTCACATTCCAGATTGCTCTTCGAACTACGGAGTACTCCGTAATTGTATGCTGTATGCAGTGCTCCCCTTTTGGTATCTCGAATGTCTGCATAAAGTACAGAGCAGGTCGTGCAACCTCATCTTCCTCGATATGAAACTGGTGACGTCGTGATCGGCAGATCGTCGTATGCACCAAACAGATTCGTTGCTCGCATCGGACGACAAGCGCCTACTTGTCGATCCAGTACCATTGATTTGGCCTGTTGGACTTTGTAATCTCCACGCAGGAAAGTAGTGTTCTAGAAACAATTATGTGAGTCATGGTCACACCGTATCTTCCCGCCGTCGAATCCAAATTCCGGACTGCGTCGGCTCGATTTTGCGGGAATTGCAGCCGTAGCAGCATCGCCATGACAAGTAGTAACAATGCACGCCTTTGCTATACCAGGCCATTAACTTGGTAATAATTGTGTCGACGATCCCTATCATAGTCACCTAAATGCATGGGAAGAGTAGTTAACACAGTGAAGAATCCCATTTTCATTTCTAATTTGGAAAGCCCAGGGAAACCCAAGATTAAGAACACCAATTCCCCAGACTTTTGTAGCGCGCATCGCGCAGGAAACAGAGCCAGATAATAAATATCCGCACCGCCATGTAACACGCTAAATCCAACAGGCGAGAATCAAACAGAAAGACAGAGACAAAGACCCAAAGGGAAAGACATAAGGCTAACAAGCATCGCGGACAACAGGTCCAGGATGAATGTTGAGGAAAGAGAACAACCGATAGGGCGGGCAAATCTGCCCTACATTCCCATGTGCGCGAGATCATTACCAGGGGATATTGGACGATGGCATACAATTATTTCGTCTTGGGAAGGCCAAAAAGAACGCTTTGAAGAAGAATGGCGGGGACAGAGCCTGTAACCGAGAAGAAGAAGAGGAGGGAGAAGAAGAAGAAGAAGAAGATGAAGAAGAAGAAGAGGTTGAATAAGTCCAAGGTTGAATTACTCCAGACTCAAGCTTGGGATATTATTGTAGCAAGCTTTGCCCTTGGAGAATGCGACGGGCGATGGCGGAGGCGCAGGAGGCGTTCCGTCGATGAGGATTGAGCGGTTCTTCTCTGTCTTTTGGGCCGAGGCTGTCATGGCGCGGGAGATGTCCTGCGACATTGAAAAGGAGGGAGGCATGACGGGGATTGTGGTTTTTGTTACGACAGTAGCCATTCTTTTGAATTAGATTTCTTGATTGAAGGTGCACAGGTTGAGAGGATAGATTAGGACTCGGGAGGGGTTTGGTGGTGGAATAGACTGAAGAATGACAAGTTGTTGGTTTGTCGAAGTTTTTACACTTCGGAAAAGGATGGGCTTGGTCAACAACCTCGACGGGACGCCGAGGAGTGTACAAGGCCGGATGTTAAGCTAGATTCACGAGATTGAGGGTCAGATTTCTGTTGCTGCGAAGTCCTTGTGCTTTGTACTTGGATTTAACATATGCTCCGGCATAGATGAAGCTTGTGGCTCCGAAGTTGCCCGAGGCCCGGTTTCGGTGGATCGGGTCGGACAGTGCGAGGAGAGGTGGCAAGCACTTACAAGGATCAAAGGATTTGAGTTCGGGGTCTTTGCGAGATGTAATGGTAATAGATGTTGATGGGAGGCAAGAAGTGAGTTGCGGTTGATATGATAGGTTGTAGTTTGTGACAGGGGTTGTAAAGAGGCTTGATTAACTTGACTATTGTAGTGAACGTGTTTTATCCAATAGAATCCTTGAAGACGATCAGAGCGAACGGTGATGGTCAAGCTGTCGGCAGTGCTTGGTATGTAATTGCACAGGAATGAACAGAATTGTAAAAAAAAAGAACAAGAGGGTCAATATGCCGTTTATATTTTTTTTTCTTTCTCTCTCATTTTTAATGTCTAAAAAAAGATATGAGACACCCAACAAAAAAAAAAGCAATCTCCGTAAAAGTGTGGAGGAGTACATTCCCTGGGGAAGCACGAAAGTACCCAGGACACGCATACCTTATATGCGTACTCCCTAGAGATCTGCCCGCCAAGGCTATTCGCATCATTCTAAACCGCCCAATAACCTAGCTATCAAGGTAGGGATAAAGAACATTCTCCATCGGAACAACGGAAGCCCAAACCCGGAAACCTGCCGGGAAGACATGAAAAATCAAAGGAGATGAGGCCTGACGCGTTCGTGTGGGGGAGAAGACCAGGGGGTGATGTTTGATGAAACGATTGGATATTATCTATGGTGTTTTTGACATTATTTGCCATAGAATTAACTAGCTTGGAAGCGGAAATAGCTAGTGAAAGCCAATTGAACCGGTTGAAGCGGCAAGACTCTATCTGAAACTAATGAGGTAGGGCTAGTTCAACGGTGATTCTATATGATTCTACAGTTTCTAGCGTTTCCCCGAGAAAACTCGCTGTTGACCTCGGCATGAGAGCGGATACGGGCGCTCCTTTCGAGAACAAAAACTGGGGCCCATCGATCAGACTGCCGGGGTTATGGAAGAGATGTGATGGAAGAAATGTTGTGGAAGGGGGTTTTCCGCTGCGGTGCAAGAGATTGGCCTGGTGGCGACAGGAATCGGACCTATTATTTGATACCTGAAAGATAGACTCCGTACTCTTCCGGGAAAAAAAAAGGTAAGATCCGATGCCAGGAGGCATCTGACTACTATTTGGACTCCTTGAAAGTGTTCACAACAAGAACTGTCTTCTTTTACCGTGCTCACCGTTTCTCGAGGTGCATTGCTATTCAGGACGATCTCCCACAAATCGAGACAAGGTTGCGAAAAGGTATGTTGAACTTGGATTAAGTTATATATCGATTTGATTAAAGGGGCTCAAGTACCGGTATACCCGCCTATAGTCTAACGCCAATCTAACACACTCTGATGAAACTTGTATGAGATAGTATCTTGCACAACGCCACAACTCAAAAAGTAACATTTTTGGAGCCTCGGTTAAAATCCTCGCGAGGAGTGGACCATGCCAGGGGCCGAAAAAAGTCTGGGGCGCACATCAAATCCTTTGTTTGAAACGTGCTTACCTCGTATACACGGAGTTGATGCTAAAGGGTTATGATGCCCAACACAGGGATACGACCCAGGATCTGGGGTTCACTTTTTTTCCAACTCCTACGATTCACCCCTCCCTTGATTAAATTCAGGGGTACTACCGTTGTACAAAAGTACCCAAATCCCCTTTATCGTTCAACCGTTGATCGACGTGCGAGGGAACTCCACAATTCTTATCCCCCGGATTCAAGGGGCCACCGTAGTAATTTGACTATTTTCACTATGCAATGCACTCCACTGCCACCTACGGATCTATGGAAAGGGAGGATTACTTCAGAATTTCTAGAATGTCCATTCCTGTCTACGTCCCCAATTTTCTGGGTACCGGGTCTCCGGCGGTGATCCAGGGCGCATTTTATCGGGAATTTTGGTCCCCCCATTCGATTGCGGACACCGTGTCTGCCTGTAATAAAAGCCACACCGACCTTCAACGTAGTATCATATTGTAGCATCACTACGTTCTGCACTATGTCAAATATACTTGGATCTTGATGTCTACCGGGTACGTCGTGAAAATGTAGATTACAACATTCTTTTCGTCTTGCCGTGACCACGTCAGATAAGCTCGGCGTGGTGACTTGTCCTCTTCACCGCTCGTTTAGAGATACATTCGAACCTGTTCTTGCGATAGATGGTAGAGATAGGCTAAAGAGGGGGAGGCATGAGCTGGTTACCCAGCGTGTTGTGAGACACACCATTCTCTACATTTGCGGCGTCACCTGTAGGATGTGCTCGTCAGTTACAGTCGCATACATTGATGATGCATGATCATGAGCTGTGATGATGATGGGCTACTCGCTATTCGGACTACAACATCCATGAATATTGGTCAGGTTAACGTTGGTCTACCCCAACACATCAGTTCAGCTCGTTACCCTTCTCGACCGACGGGTTATCCTTGTAGTTGCCAAACTTGGTGGTGGGCAGCCTTGGGAGTACTTGCAAGAAGGACCCTGAGGCATCTCGCTAGCCAAGGATGATAAGGCGAACGCAGAGCTGATGCGTTCGAGACGCAAGGGATACTTCGATCGTAAAAGATCGATCTCGGATACTTCACTCTTCTCTTTGGGAAAGGGTGCCCGATCTACTCCGTCCAGATTGGCAAAGACGAGTTTTCGAATTTGTTCGATTCTGGCCCTTGCACGTATTCGAAGATCTTATCTAATTATACCATCCCTTGGGATTGTACCCAAGGTCTTTCAGGAACGAGCGCCCTGTTTTGGACCTGCAACCCTGAACTCTATCCCACTTCCAATCTTGCAGAGAATATGCTTCCACTTCCAACGATGTGAGCTGACTACCTTCTAGATGCCCTTCTGACCTGGTGCCCATGTCGCGTCTTGAGAGGTGGCTGAACAAGACTCTTCCTATCGGCATCATTCTCCTATATTCAG